AGAGAGAGAGAGAGAGAGAGAGAGAGAGAGAGAGAGAGAGAGAGAGAGAGAGAGAGAGAGAGAGAGTCAAACATTAAGGCTGAGGAGTGAGCGGTTCCCTACCTGAGTGGCACTTGAGGGGTGATGCGGCGGAACTTGCGGAAGCCGTCTGGAGACATGAAAAACAATTTCCTTGTTTAATATAATTCGGTGTGGATTCTAGTGCGGTGATCTGGTTCCATCGCTCTGTGTAAAGGGTGAGCTCTCATGTGATGTTTTTGTGCCGAGTAATCTCGTGTGTTCGAGGAGGAGGTTCATTGCATTGTCATTCCCCCATGGTTCCCTCGTGATAGTGATGTATATCTTTTATGCAGATACTGAGCCTTGTGTTGCAGGCATTATAAGCAATCTGTGAGTGGCATTTGGAAGTCTGGAAAGATACATGCCGCACAGACTGTGAGCGATATTTGAAACTTTGGAAAGATGCAAGCCACACGGACGGAGTACAGAGGACTGCAATGAACTTGCAGTTCTCAGCGATGGTGATCTGGTTCCATCGCTCTGTGTAAAGGGTGAGCTGTCATGGGATGTTGGTGCCGAGTAATCTCGTGTGTTCGAGGAGGTTCATTGCATTGTCATTCCCCCATGGTTCCCTCGTGATAGTGATGTATATCATTTATGCAGATACTGAGCCTTGTGTTGCAGGCATTATAAGCAATCTGTGAGTGGCATTTGGAAGTCTGGAAAGATACACGCCGCACAGACTGTGAGCGATATTTGAAACTTTGGAAAGATGCAAGCCACACGGACGGAGTACAGAGAACTGCAATGAACTTGCAGTTCTCAGCGAGGTGTAAGATAACAGGGCCATCTCTGTAATTTTCTAAGTTCTGGACCCGCGTCCATAACTGACACAGGTCTAGTCCTTACGGGGACTTTTCTGCAAATTCGTTGGGTTTTCCCAGGCCCGAGGAATTTTCCTTACCGCTTGGGACTGGTCCCGGTTACTGAACGCGACAGGCCGTGTTGTTTTGTTGGGCCCTAGGTCGTAGGCCAGGTGTGGTAGGCTGGGTAGGCTGTCTAGAAATAGTTTGCAGTGGACGAGAGTCGGGCCTTTTGGGGTTTTCGTTGGTTGGGGAAACGCTGCCGGTTTGTGATTTGACACCGCTGCTACGTGAGAGACGACCGCCATTGCTGGGGCGGAAAGTGGCACTGCAGGACGGTGATGCCTAGACACAGTGCTGCAAGCGGGCGGTCACACACACCTGTGTTGCTGGGAGCTGGGTGCCGCCATGAATTCTTCGTCACGACAGCTGTTTTACTTCCTTTGAAGTTGGGGGATGCTCTTGCTCCCGGGGACTGGCGCTGCTATCCATGCTGAGTGCTGAGCGCCGACTCATTCCTGTGATCAGTGCGGGAGGTGGATGAGGTGGCGTCGGAGGTCTGCAGGTCTTGGGGTCTGGGTGCTGGATCCTGACAGCCGCCAATAGCGAGGTTCTGTAGGATGATGGATGGAGGAAGAAGAAGGCTCCAAATTTTCGTTGAAACATTATTGTGAACTTGTTAGTCTTCGTTGAAACATGGTTGAGATTCTTGGAAACTTTGTACATCTGACTGGCAGGAGGAGGAAGGTGGAATAATCCAAATAACTTTATATATTGAGCTTGGTGGATGAGTTGGCGTCGGAGGTCTGCAGGTCTTGGGGTCCGGGCGCTGGATACTGACAGCTGCCATGGCCAGGTTCTGTAGGATGATGGATGGAGGAAGAAGAAGGCTCCGAATTTTCGTTGAAACATTATTGTGAATTTGTTGGTCTTCATTGAAACACGGTTGAGATTCTTGGAAACTTTGTACATCTGATTGGCAGGAGGAGGAAGGGGGAATAATCCAAATAAGTTTATATGTTGAGCTTCCGCTGCATACATCTCTCCGGTTTTGTGTGGATTTGCCTTCTCCAAGTCTGCTGTATCATTGCATGCGTGTGTGGGAACGTATGGGCGACGCGTGGATGGGAATTCAATCAGTTACGTAACAGGACTACGAGCAAGAGGAGAGAGGGGAGAGACTGGACGTCCCTTCAAGGTTCCACCTGGATGACTATGTTTGCGAGGAAATTGAACCCCGAGCCTGCACTTGTATTTCCTGTATGTTGAGCGTACCACTTACGATGATATGCTTTCTCCATTGTCAATCGCTATGCTAGAGCATCCTGATGGACGCTGCCGTTTGTCTTTCAACTATTTTTTCTTTTGCACATTGTGTCCTTCGCAAAAGTAAAGCCTCCTCACATAATGTGCTATTCTTCTGCATGAAGTGTGCGCTTTTTTTTCTTCTTCATTTCTCAAGCTTTCTGTCTTTTCTGTATGAGCAAAGCCTCACGTAATGTGCTATTCTTCTACACGAAGTGTGCCATTTTCCCCCCATTTCTCAAGCTTTTTGGCTTCTCTGTACAGCATTCCCTTTTTTCTGGTCGGTGAGTCATCTGGCTTAACATTTTTTGCCTATTGTGATATCAATAAATGCAGGTTGGACTAACGAAGTTGTTCCTAAGGGGGGGGCAAATGGCAGTTCTGGACACAAGGAGGATGGAGATTATGAGTAAAGCAGCTACTTTAGTCACAAGAAAAGCCCGCACTTTCCTATTAATAAAAGCCTTCCGCCGATTGCGCAAAGCTTCAATTTGTTTTCAGACGTGCTGGCGAGGTACTCATTATGTTTGCAATCTTCTGTTATTAATACTTATTATGCTTTGAATGACCTGCGGCGCTCTTTGGTGAATGGATTTGTTTCAGTTGCCCAGAGGAAGTTAGTGGGTTGTTATAATAGTCTGTGTGGGTGTCCCTCTTTCCTGTTCTTTTTTTTTTTTCTTTTTTTTTTTGTGTGTGTGTGTGCGTGTGTTGAACAGGACTGTGGAACCAACACCTTTGTTGATCAGTATGTAAATCTGTTCAGATTTCAGCCACCGTGCTTGTGTGCAAAATTGTCCCACTAAACTTGGGAGTGTAATATGTGTGGGTGTTCCTCCCCTGCCCTTATTGGGGGCACCATGACAGCTGAACATCATGTACTGGAAGATGGCAGTTCCATCATGTACGGCACCTTGACGTTATTCAGACAAGCCAAGATCCCAAACATAGTGTGCTGGTAGATTCCAGCTTTTCACCCCCACAGTCTCCATTATCTTTTGCGAACACTCTGGTTAACAGGAGGCCTACCTTTTTTCAGTTCGTTCGGTGGATGGGTTACTTGGTGGCAAGGCGTCTCTGCGCAGGGGCTGACCTGATTTTTCAGGAGGTAGCTGTGGTTTAAGCCCTTGCTGGCTCAGTGCAGTTGATGCAGTAGGCCAAGTTATTAACTAACAAGCTAGTACACCTTTTGGTCGACTCTGTAGTTCTGCCTCGGTGGAAATGTCCTCCAAGTTTTCCGGTAAACAACATGTAACTTGGGAGCATACGACCTCCAGATGTTCTCTCGTTTAGGTGGGAAATCCAATAAGGCTTCGTTTTATTCCGACTGTCCTAGTAAGGCAGCCAGGAAGCAATCAGGTATGTGGCAGAGTGACCGGGCTTTCGACTTTTCTAGTGTAAATATGTCAGATGTTCTTCAGGGCATTCATTTCCAGTACAAGGCTACCGTAGTAGTTTGCCCACTTAACTGTAGTGTATCGTGCTGTATACAAACAATCACCACAAATAGCGAGTGACGCGTCAGGAATGCTCTCACACTTGTTTCAGGCTCTGATACGGTACTTCTGAGGCCAAAATTCCAACTGACATTGAAATCTTTTTTTTTTTTTTTTTTTTTTTTTTTTTTTTTTTTTTTTTTTTTTTTTTT